TCGCCGCAAGGCATCCCGCTGCCTTCACTCCAGCAGAACCTACCCCACGGTACAAGGAATTCCCTGCAGCCCGTTGGGAAGCCCTGCCCCCTACGCACTGGCATGCAATGACCCACTCCGATTCCAACCAAGCTGCCCTCTTGGTTTCAGGACACCCTGGCCGTTCCGGGACTGGGCATCCCAGCAGCCCTGGAATAACCCAGATCTCTGGTTTTTCGGGTCAGATGCTTACGAAAGGCCCGAAAGCCTGAGATTAGCCACTCGACGGCTCTCCCGGGAGCCAAGCGAGAGGCCAGGAGCGACCGGGCCACGCTGGGTTTGAGCTGCAGCTCGAGGCTCAACAAAGGAAGCCCTGATTCTCCAACGGTGAAAAGCGCCAGGGGAGCAAACGCAATTGTGCTAATGGCCGTGAAAGGCCTAATCCCCCCGACGTAGCCTTCTCCAGCCATCCTCCAGCTGCAGCCCGCAGCGCTCGCGGGGAGAGTTGCTGATTGGATGTGGGCAGAGCCCCCAGGGCAGGCGTCGAGTGCTGGGTCCCCATGGGGAGATTTTAACATGGCAGCCCCCAGGTGATTGCTAGCCAGCTGTCCCGCCCCACTCAGGAGCCTCGGCAGGGATAGAAGGGGTCTGATTCTCTGCTGCCCTGTGAGCTGAGCTGGACAAAGGGGATGAAAAACACCTCCCATCCAGGTGGTGTTTTGCACCCACATTGCAAAGGCGCAAGGACAAGCAGAGGAGAATTCGGCTGCAGGGGATCCATACCCAGCTTTCTCTCTGCCACCGCCCTGTTAACCAGCGAGAGAACCCGCAGAACCAGCCCCAGGCCACTCATCCTTCCCCCGACGTCTGCCAGTCCCTGTAACTGCCTCTCAGCGTGGGGCTCCAGGCAAGGCGGGGGAGCCCTGGCCCCGCTGGGAAGGGTGCGGGTGGATCCTCGCCACTTTGGACCTGGCTCAGCTACTTTCCCCATCTGTGGTCTCCATTGTCTCGGCTGCCTGCTCGCTGGATTATTTTTAAGCTGACAGCTGAATGTGCCCTTGTGATTCTAACCAGTACAGACAAGCCTCGGAAAGAGAGCCCGAGAGAGGGAGCAGCACATGTGCTACCTAGACATTAACCTGCAGCCATGACTCCCTCGCCCGCAACGTCCACCCCAGACACACCAGCCGACCCATCGCAGGGACGTCGGCAGGGCTCCCACACTGCCAGTCCGTGGCACTTCGTTTAATTCCACACCTGCCCGTGGTAACAGCTTGCTAGGAGCTGCCTCCGGGAAAGCTCCTGCCCTTGTCTCTCACCCCCGTCATCTTCCATTCACGCCCCCTCACCACCACCCCCCAGCCAACAGATGCCAAGAGGAGGGGGGCTGCGGGAGTTCCTTGCCGACAGACCAGACAGCAGCCAGCCAGGGACCAAAGGGCCCCATAGCATGAGCTCCTTTGCCCCTCACAACCAAGGGGGCACCCCCAACATGGACAATTCCTTCCTGCCAGCCTGCCCTTTCTGGGCCATTCCCCTTAGCCCATCTTTCCAGGCGGATCTCTTGCTGCTGGCCGTCCTGGGCACAGCCTTCAGACCACAGGTCAATTATATCCTGAGACAGTTATACCAGGGACGACTGGCCCCATGTGCCTAGACGGGGCCAAAGGGCCGATTCTGCAGCCCTTACTCACGGTGAGTAACACTTACTCAAACAAGTAGGCCCACTGACTTGAATACAGCTACAGCCGTAAGTGCTTCTCAGCATCAGGGCTGCAACATCATAGCCATAAAGGATTAGGAGATGGTGCCCATTGGCCAATGGGTCTCAGCCATTCCCACCGCACAGCCCCCCAGATCACAGCAGAAACGAGTTTCACAGCGCTCTGCTCATCTAGCCGTTGAAAAACAGGAAGGTGGTTGCGACCCCCTGACACATTCTGTGATCTTCCTCGGGGGCTATGCCCCCCCATCCCCGGGCGAGACCCAGGCTGATGCTCTGTAAACCATAGGATCAAACTCAGGGCCTCCTCCGGCCCTCGGCCCCTTTCCCCGGAGTAGGAATGAGGGAGGTGTCTCTAAAAACGGATCGCGTTTGGGGGAGACAGGTGGTTTCAAACAGGAGTTGGACTCAGCCCATCGAACGCATGTCCGTTTCTCAGTAAGCGGCCACTGAACGCTCGCGCGTCCTTCGACACAGTTCGCCCCGGTGCTGGGTTTGGCTCATCAGTGAGCACACGGGGCAGGCTGCCTTTCCAGAGAGGGACGGCGTCCATTCCCCCCCTGCTCCGTCACAGAGTTGTAGCTAGAAGGCTGATGTTTCTAGACACGTAGCCCAGCCCCATGGCCGGTGAGAGACACAGGCAGGAGCGAATGCCAGGCCCAGGGAAGCACATAACCTGCCGCTGGACAAAGCAATATCTGCCCCGCCAAGCCCATTCCCAACTGGATGCTGGGAGCAGGGCCGGCTCTCGCTCCCGGCCGTAGCGTCGCGTGAGTTTGCCAGTGTGCAGCTGTGGCCTGGGAGGAGCGGACACGGCTGGAGCAGCAGAACCCCTGGGCTGGGGCATTGTGTGGCACATGCCCGGTGTGTTCCTGCTGCTGGCCTTGCAACCTCTATCGGCTGAACCTACTGCGGGCTCCTTTTCCTCTCGCTCTTCGGTCCCTCCCCCTCGCTGCAGTTTGACAGAAAGAACCAGAGGACAAAACGCTTAGGAGGCCGTTGGGGCTGGTAAGGGCCTGGACTGGAACCTCGGCATCCTGACTCTGCCACTGACCAGCAGTATGGCCTTGGGCAAGTCCCTTCTCTGTGCCCTGGTTTCGCCCCTCATCTGTGTAGCCTGTAAACGCTCTGGGGCTGGGACTGTCTCTCTGTATACGTTTGTCCAGCACACAGCACCGTGAGGCCCACCCGTGGCTGGGGTCTCTACGTGCTCTTGCGATAAATAACTAAACTAACTCACATCCCACCCTGAGCATCAGGAAAGGCCGAGTTCAATCCCTGATCTGGCACCCTTCCCCCGGCTCCTTCCTTCCCTTGCCCTGGGGGAAGCCAATTTCCCCCCCCTTCTTTTTATTTTAACTGAGGACAGAAGCGTCCCAAGGTGCTGTGACTGGCTGGGGCCCACTCCCTAACGCTGAGCCGCTGAAATTCACCATGAGATGCGCAGATCTGCTGGAGATGGGAGTCACCCAGAAAGGGCGATGAAAGAAGCCCCACAGATTGATGCCTGACTCCCCAAAGGGCGGCGGGGGAGGGGGCGAGTCCTTCCTGTGGGCACGTCCCTCGCACCAGACTCTTTCAGTGTTACACAGGTCTCCGTTTTGCTCTGAACGTAACAGCAGCAACTCAAACGTCTTACGGCCCCTGTTCTAGGAGGCTCCCAGCATATAGCTAATTCAGAGCCCATGTGACGCTGGTAAATATTATCTGCGTTTTACAGATGGAGAAACTGAGGCACGGAGGAGGCGAGTGATTTGCCCAGGGTCACATAGCAGCGAGTCCGGACATCCCCAGCCCCCTGCACTAAATCACTCAACAAGGCTGCCCCAATGCAACCCACATGAAAACTAATCACAGTAACGATTTGTGCAAGCCGGTCATCTCGACGCTGGGCACAAAGCCATCACTGACTCACTCACTACCGGGCAAGCAGATCCCTGGGCTGACAAACACAGAGAAACCTTAACCCCCTCCCTTTATGTTCCTCACCCTGCGGTCATTCATTCGCCTCGCTCGTTCTGTCTGCTTTGCATTTTGTCCCCCATTGTGAGCCGACTCGACAGCCCTCAGAAGGGACGGCGGATGCACGACCATCCAAGCACACACACAGTGAACTTACAAACAGCCCCTTAGCACTGTTCTGGGCACGCACTAGGTGCTCCGTCAGCAGCTTAGGAGAGCAGGAAGCAACGGATCACCAAGGAGACGCAGGTGGAACCCCAAACTCTGGGGTCCCTTTGTCCCCTCTTTTCCCAGCTCCACACTTCATCCACTTTCTTCCCAACCCCATATATTTATTGTGGGTCGCACTCAGGCAAAACTCACGTTAACGTCAATAAACCCAGGATCTGCTCCATTCGCGTTTATCACCCACATGGCTAAGCCGGAGTATCTGGTCGCCATTCACTGAGAAGATATGAACTGCGATATAGGGTAGGGAATGACTTCCACTACCCCCATCCCACAAACCCAGATCATCTCCTCAACAGAGATAAGACCAAGCAGATAACCCACCACGCGGAGTCCAACACCAATAGGAACAAAGAGGCATCGTATGTTGGACCCTAAATGGATCCAATGGATCTCAACTGGGCAGAGCCAAGGACCACCCTGATGGAGAAATCCTGTCTCCAGGAGTCTGACGCTGGGTCCGAGAGCCGCAGCACCCCACCACCAACAGCCGCTGGAGGGCACCAGGCAGATTTCCTAAACAACAGGGCCAGAGACCCTTCAGGACTTTTCAGATCAATGATCAAGACGGTGGTGACCAGCAGAAAAGGCAGGACCAGCCTTAGCAGAGGCAAGGCACTGCCCTCCCTGATGAAGTTCTGGGGAGGGATATCATGAAATGCACTCCTGGAGATTAACCCCGCAGGCGCCTTACCCCAACGCCACGCCCAGTCACCTCCCCCATACTCCTGGCAAAACTTGGGGCAGGAGGGTAAAGTCCCAGGAGAGAGAGACCCAACCCACTCCTATTACAGTGGAACAAAAGCTAGCTGGTGTCTTTGCCCCAGGTGCCATGTTCACGGGCATCACTCGTTAGTCCCAAGTGTTAATCATGGCACACAGCAGTACTTCGTCTCCAGTGACCCCTCTACTTCCTAGCACCCACCCACTAGGGGTTTAGTAAACATGCCCCCCCAAATCGTTCACGTACCCCCCCAAAAAGTATTTACATCCCCATAGGACAGTGAACTAAGCCTACAAGGACCAGATCCCCCCTCCCAGGTTCCCCCACTCCAGGGTGAAAGGGGATCTGGGTGTGGTGACCAGGGCGCGCCGCCACGTCTCTCACCGTGTGGCGTGTCTCCAGCCGAGGGCGCGAGCGGCGTTTCTGCCTGGGGAGGGCGGCCCCGGCACGGTACCACCTGTGCTCCAGGTCGGCATTGTCATTCCGCAGGCTGCTCAACCAGATGCAGCGGGGCTCGGGCGAGCTGCAGTCCACACCGATGGGCTGCTCAAATCGCCAGCCCTTCCCCGCCCGCTCCACGCTCCACAGGGCCTTGCCCACCACCGACATGTTCCTCGGCGCAGCCAGAGGACGACGGGGTCCCCGCAGCCCCCTGTGGGGTGCCCTGTCCCCGCTGCCCACGCCTTCTTCCACCATCCAGCAAAGGGGAAGGGAGAGAGTCTCCCTGGAAAGTCGCTGACGGGGCGGAGGGGGTGAACTAAAGGTTCTTTTGGGAGAGGCAAGTGAGCTGAACGGATCTCAGCCCCTGGTGCAGCTGGTGCCCGTCCCCTGTAGATCCATCGGTGGAGAAGTTGCTCCCTGCTTCCCTCGGCTAGCCCCTAAACTTCAGCGGAGAGTCTGATGTCAAAACCCTCCCTGGCTGCCAGCCGGAGTCAGCTCTACCGTCTGGTGTATCACAGATGAATGTTGATCGTTCCAGTCCTGGGCATGCCAGATACACGCACCCCCCCCCCCCAGGACGCTGTCCTGAACGCACACACGCCCCCGCCCCCACCGAGGGGAAGGCACTGAAACCCCTCGATGCCAGAAAGCCAGCTTCCAGCCACCCGGGGAACCAGCAGAGGCTGAGCTGAGGAGGCAGGAGCAGGCGGGCGGATGGACAGACAGACAGCGAGAGAGAATGCACACGCTCTGCCTGCAGCTGCTCCGGGCTATCAGGCCACCCAGCATCACCCCGCCCTCCCACCCCCTCCGGCGCTGCCTGGCTGGGCGACCCAGCCCCCTCCAGCTGACACAAGCGCAGGGGGGTTGGAAGTTTCACTTTGCTGATACTTTTTTTTTTTTAATCCTCCGGCTTCCTCCTCTCCCTCCCTCCCGGCCTCTTCCTTCCTTCCTCAACTCACTTCCCAGCCTGGCAGCCCTGCGCCCGCCAAGAGAAGGGGCGGGGGGGGGGAAGGGAGTGCAGTCTAGTGACTAGAGCCAGAGTCAGGACTCCTGGGTTCTCTTCCTGGAGCGGGCGGCTTACACGGGGCTGACTCACCAGCCCTGCTCCGTGCATCACTGTTTCCCCAGTTATGAAATGGGGTGATGAGCCTGACCCACTTCTGCCAAGTGCATTGAGGTCCTTGAATGAAAGGGGGCATTGGGGAGTAGACACGAGGCAGGGCAGAGCTGGGGAGCACCGCACGAGGGGTCACCCCAGGACACATTCTCAGAGCCGGGCGGCTCCCATCTCTACTTTCTCACTCTCTTCCCTTCTGGTTCTCTCTCTAAGCCGAGCATTTGCCCAGGGACTGGCTTTCGGTCACTTTCAGCCTCAGCCGGGTTCGACTCGGCGACCTCAAGGTAATGCTGACCAGGATTCTGATTAGATCCAGCACAGCCAAGACCTCGGGAGTTGCCATTTGCCATGAATCATCCCCTGAGCCACCCTTAGTTCTTGTATTTGTTATTTTGTTATTGCTGATACTGGACCAGGGAAATAGCAGCATCACGCCTCATTGTGGCCCCGGGGGCGTTGGAGGGCACTATTCAGCTCAAACTACCGGCCACTAGGCAGGACAGAACCTGAGCCAGCCCGAGAGACCTCAGGATCCTGTCCCTTCTGAGTCAAAACCACCGCCTGAAAGCTGTGGAGGCCCCGGCACTTCAGGGCAGCCTGGAACCAGAAACGGGGGCGGCTGGATCTCACTCGTCAGGGTGTCTGAGGATCGCTGAAGGGGGGTCAGGAAGGAACTTCCCCTGTGCCCCCTGCCCCCGTTACTGCATTGCCATACCAGCCTGGTGGCGAGAAGGGCGGGATTCACCTTCCTCCGAAGCATCAGACGTAGGCCCCAGCCAGCGGCTGGATGGCCCAATGGGCTCACCCTGGGTGGCAAATCCTGGCTTTATCCTGAAGCAGCAGGCAGGCGAGGATGGCAAGCTTCCTCCAGAGAGCCCGGGTGGGGGGATAAATTACCCTGCCCCGAGCCCCAGCCCCTCCTCTTCACCGTGTTGTCCTCAAGAGAGCAGCTTTTCAAGGAGTGGGTGGTGCCCGAGGCTGAGTGTATCTTCATGCCCCTGCTTGATGGGAGCAGGATTGCAAGGCAAGGAGGGGAGAGCTCAGGGCTGGAAGCTGTCTCCTCCAGGCCAGGTTTGCGGTCCATGGGGAGTGACATTTTCCCCTCAACCCCAGACAGGGCGCTCTCCCCAGATCCCCGCGGAGATCTTTCAGTGGAGCAGTGGGGGGAAAGGAAAGCACAGGATTGAAAAGAGTCTGAGACCCTCTTGCTCCTGGGGCGAGCTGGGTTCTGGGCTGTGTCGGGAGCCCAGGACTGAATTCCCGGAAAGGAGAGAAGGGGGGTCCAGAGACTAGAGGCACCAAACTGGGTGCCAAGACTCCTGGGTTCTATCCCTGGCTCTGCCACTGAGCTGCTGTGCGACCTTAGGCAAGTCACTTTGCCTCTCTACACAATGGGGGAAATGAAACTTCCCCATCTTTGGAAAAGTGCTAACTAATATTAGTCCCTCCAGGCCAGAGCTTGGTAAAATCCCTCGGGGGGTGGGGGGGGCAATGTTCTAAGAACCCAGCACCACAGAGCATCTTCACTCGCCCTGCACCGTCCCCTGCCCAGCACATTCAAGGGCCTGGACACACAAGGCAGTGAGAACAGAATGCTGGCACGCTGGTGTCGCTGGAACACACACAGACACACTCGCTCCCAGGGAGATGTGTGGGCAGGGAAGGGAATCCTTCCCAGGGCATCCTGGGTCAATATTCGTACAGCACCTTGCGTGTGTGCTCAGTGCTTCTGAGACACGGTCCCTGCCCTAAAGAGCTGAGACGAGTGGTGGAAACTGACCAGGGTGGCCAGAGGGAGGGGTGGGAAGATGGGTTGAGCAGAGAGAGATCAGGCAGTCCCTTAGTATGATGAGGCTTTAAGAGAGGAGGAGGAGATGATGCCGGAGCAGAGAGGCAAAGAGAAGCAGGTAGTGTGGCCAGGGGGCTAGGCTGGTACTCAGGACACCTGGGTTCTATTCCCAGCTCGGACACTGACCTCAGGCAAACCGTGCCTCAGTTTCCCCAGTTACTCTGAGCCTGTTTGGTCCATTTAGCCTGTGAACTCTTGGTGGCAGAAACTGCCTCTCCCCTCTGTGGCTGACAGCTCTGACTACTGTAACGTAAGGAAGGTTGATTAGTCCCTGCTGCGCTGAAGGAGGGAGATCAGCCCAGGAGCAGGTGGGGGCATGGAAAACAGGCGACAGTTCGCAAAGGGGCAGGAAGGGGCAGGGTGTGGGGCCATGGGATCAGGGCAGGGACTGAGGCAGGGGAAGGGGAAGAACCGGGATGAAGGAGAGGACAAAGGGACTGATTTGAAGGGACTGTGTGCGAGACGCACCCTCAGATCATTTCACCTGCAGCACGCTGGAAAGAGCGAGAGGCAGGCGGGCTGCAACGGACAAGGGGAGGGGAAGAAGGATGGCCTAGGGGCTCAGGAAACCTGGATCCAATTCCCAGCCACAGACTTGCTGGGCCTCAGAACCTCTGGGCCTCGGTTCCCCATCTGTAAAATGGGACTAGCACCTCCCAGGGGCAAGGCGCTCGGATACCATGGCGCTGGGGGCCAGATAAGGACCTGGACAGAGACCGTCTGTAACATGGTGCTGCCAAGGGACCAGCAGACACACTGACTGCAGCCCGGCCTGGCCTGCCAGGTGCTTCCCTGACATGCCCTTCCAGGGCTCTGGCCAGGCTAAGACGTAGCTACAGTCCCACCACTGCTACAACCCAGAGCCAGCAGGGCCTGGGCCCTAGCACAGGGAGAGGACGCCTCACCCCAGTGGGCATTAACAGGAAGGGGAAAGGAAGTGGCGCTGCCCAGGCCACGCGGGCACTGATCACCCAGGCCCCAACGGCACCCATGCCCCCTGCACATGGGCTCCACCTTACTGGGGCACGGAGCTGGCGCTTGCAAACTCAAGGCGGGGGGTCCAGCCGCCTGCCGCGAGGAGGATCGGACAGAAGCCCAGGCCGTTTCCACGGCGACGTTTGTTCCTCTCATTTCCTGTTTGCCAGTTTTTAGCCGGACTTTGCCTTGGCGGGAGCTGACGAGGCCAGGGAGCGAGGCGGGGAGCCAAGGGGGACAGGTCAGCGGCTGGTGCAAGGCAGAAGGGAAGGAGCGTTGTGCCCGTCCCAGGCCAGAGTGGGCCAGGAAGCCAGGGCTGCCCCACTGCTGGGACTGGGGCAAAGGAGGGTGGTTGAGGGGTCAGAGGCAAACCCAGCCCATTGTGGGGCAGAGGGGGCTCCGGAGGTGAAAGGTGGGTGGCCCCGACCAGTGTGGGCAGCGTGGGGCTATGGGAGGAGAGGGGCAGAGCCGAGCCTCAGGCTGCTAAAAGGGGGGAGACTCCCGCTCTACGGTCCTCCTGCCAGGGCCTGGCGGGTGAAAGGGGCAGGGGGTATTTGGCAGTGAGCTTCCCTCCTCCCCCCACCTCCAAGGGAAAGAGAAGGCTGAGCAGACTCACAGAGGGGGGGGGTCGGGGCAGATCTCGGGCAAGCATTTGGCTTTGGTGCTGAGGGTCCTGCCTCTCCCATTGGGTCAGCACCGTGCAGGACGGGCCCCCTTGCCTGTGGCCAGGCCCCGCATGAGCGGGTCCCACGGAGCATTCTTGCAATTCTAGTGTCTGAGGACAAGCATGTGCGGCCGCCCCGGGGAAATGCCAATCATTGTTCGGATTGTATCCCTCGGCCTCCAGGGGCCAGGGCCTCAGCTGCCAGCCGGCACTGCCCCTTCCACCTCTCTGGGCTCGTCCTCATCAGAGCAATGCCAGTCAACGCCACAAGACACCTCCCCAGGCTAGGCACGCCGGCCAATCAGATTCATCTCACTTGGGGGCACAGGTGCCTGCTGGGATCGGAGTCACCCCAACAATGCAGGTAACAATTTACATCAAGGCCTGGGTTGTTGGCTGTAAGCAACGATCCCTCCTCTGCCCCAGCAGATCCCTTGGTGACAAGCGCATCGAAGACAGAATGGGTGCAGTGCGCTCAGCCCAACGGAGCAAGGGAGAGAATCAGAAAACGAGAGAGGGCGCACGAGCGCACGTGGAAGGCGAGTGTGCCCTTGGACAGGACAGAGACGGGGCACATGTGCTGGATGGGAGAGGGGAAAAGCTGTCGTGAGCGTGGACCATCAGATGGATGAGATCAAGGGGCAGCGTGCATGAGAGCGATCGGAGGGATAGAAGAACAAAAGAATGACCACGCTGGGTCAGACCAATGGCCCAGCTAGCCCAGTGTCCTGTCTGTAACAGTGGCCAATGCCAGGTGCTTCTAGGGTGACCAGCTCACACAGGTGAAATATCGGGACGCGGGGGGGCGGAGCAAAACGGCCGCCGGAGCTCCACGCCTCGCCCCCCCCAACAGCTTGCCTCCGCTCCGTCTCCACCTCCCCCCTCCCTCCGGCACTTGCACCGCCATACAGCTGATCAGCGCAAGCCTGGGAGGGAGGAGGAGGAATGCGGCGTGCTTGGGGAAGAGGCGGGGCCAGAGCGGGGATTTGGGGAGGGATCCAATGGGGCAGTGAGGGGGCGGGGCCAGGGTGGGGATTCGGGGAGGGATCCA